TAAATTTGTTATTTAGTTATTATATTTAGAATTAGGCAAGTAACTTTTATTGAGAATAATTTTAGATTTGTTAAGAAATGACTTGTTACGTGCTTCGGTTAAGAGCTCATTTGATTTTTATTTTAATAATAAATATAAGATCTCAATCTATTTTGTCTCTCGTATTTATTCATTTTTTATCAAAATAATCATTATAATAATAGTAGTTAGGGTTAATTAATCCGCAAGTCCTTATATTTTCAATGAATTTTGAATTAGGTCCCTATAGTTTTTTTTCTTTTTATCAGGTCCTTATACTTTTACCTTTTTTTAATTAGGTCCTTGTATTTATTTTTCTTTTAATTAAGTCCTTATAATTTCACTAAATTTTTAACCAGGTCCATGTAGTTTTAATTTTATTTATTAATTAAATATAAGCTTAATTAAATAGAGTAATAATGAAATATAAAATATTAATAATTAAAATTAAATTAATAATTATGTAATAAAAAAGTAATAGAATTAATTATTCAGGAATTTTTTTAGAACAATTAATTTTTTGCTGAAAAAATTAAAATCATTATAATAATTCAATATCTTTAGAATATTATTGTTTATAAACTAATATTAAATAATATATACTATTTTATGTTTATATAATAGTACTATTAGAATTTATAAAATAAAGAATAAAAAATTTAGGGACTTAATTAAAAATAAGGTGAACTTATAAGGACTTGATAAAAAGAAAAATAAATACAAGGACCTAATTAAAAACAAGTGAAAGTATAAGGACCTGATAAAAAGAAAAAAAACTATAAGGACCTAATTCAAAATTAGTTGAAACTATAAGGAGCTGTGGATTAATTATCCCTAGTAGTTATAACCAATACATCTGATTAGTGATGATATTTGAAGAAAGACAACAACTATTTATTACAAATAACTAATCTAATTAATTTTATTAATCTACTCAAATTAGTCAACTAACTCTTATACTCCTCCGGTCCTAATTATAAGACCCAATTGACTTATTTGAGGAGATTAAGGAAGTAAGTTAAGTTGGTTATTTATAATAAATAAGTGTTGTCATTCCTAAAATATCCTTGCTAATTAAGTATATTGGCTAAAACTATCATTATTAGAAGGATTATCTTGGAAAAAAATGTATAAATATAAGAGACAAAATGGATTGGGTCTTATAATTAGGACCAAATAAAAATTCAAATTAGGTCTTATAATAAAGACCGGATGAGTATTAAAGATCGGGAAAAGTATTATATCTCCTCATCCTCATAAGTCGTAACTAATGGTGAAGAAATATTATGTGGAGACAAAGCATCCAGCACACCATCTCCCACTCCAGTATTCCTTGAATTTTATGGGTGGCCAACTAACTTTGATGCATACACGCACAAGAATTATATATATCCACTCGATGTTTGGATAACCCTAACGTAACTGAGCCTGTCATCTTCTGCTGATCCCGACCCGCTCTTCCTTCATGTTTGGCATCGGGTGCTATATTCTTCCGTATCAAACTCCCGCATATATTGAGACATTAATTTGAAATATTTATCCACAATTTTTAACAGGCAGGATTACTTTTATTTTTATTTTTGAAATGCGAGCATCCACTGATAATGAAAGGAAAATTTCGTTTAAGGATCGCAGTATAAAATTATTTTTAAAGAGTCCTCAAAACTTTTTAAAATTTCACTGCATGACCAAAAGGGCATTTTTATATTAATTCCACACAAAAAATGACGCTATTGCTCCTTATAATAAAAGTAGGAGAGTCCATTTGCAAGCGGGGCTAAACAATTTGTAACATACACATATATATATTTACAACTGGAATTAGTTCTTTTACCACCTGAAGAAGGTGTCTGTGAGTGAACAAGTATGGAAAAATCCATTTGTAAGTAGGACTAGACAATTTGCAACGTACATAAATTTATTTACAACTGGAATTAGTCCATTTATATATCACTTCCTTCACTTGAAGAGGGTGTACGCGAGTAAATAAGCGTGGAATAGCCTATTTGCAAGTGGGACTAGACAATTTGCAACATACATATCTTTATTTACAACTGGAATTAATCTATTTACATGTCACCCCGCAATAAGTATTATGATGGGTAATAAGGTCTTTTTTTGTGGAATTAATATCAGTTTGCCCTCTTGATCTTACAGTAAAATTTCAGAAAGTTTTGAGAGCTCTTTAAAATTAATTATATACTACGGTCCTTAAACAAAATTTTCCTGGTAATAAAAGCTGGTCTCAGGACAGGGAGGATTGGGAAAAACATACTTTTTTTTTAAGTCAATCCTATCGGTGATATTATTAGACATCAAATATAAGCACATCTCTCAATAAAAACTAACCCATAAGAGTTGGGATTTAAAATCTAAAGCCCCATATAATACATAAAAAGTTATTGTGAATGGTGATTGATATAAATACAAAATCAACTGGCCTCTAATTCAACGAACTGAATTAATGTTGCATGTCACTTCCAATTTTGGGCGGATTTATATCTGTCGATTTCGTTTATTATTCGACTTCATAATGCAATCTTCATGTTAGAATATTTTTAAAATAAAAGGATGTGTTTTTTGAAAAGTCATATGCAAATTTGTTAATTTAATAAATTTATGCAATGGGTTGTATTATGATATAAATTAATATATTTATACAAGGGATTGTGTTTTTATATAAATTAATTAATATACTCCTCCTATCCTTAATCTATAACTTAATTATTGAGTTGAGATTGATCATAATATAATACATATTTTCATATTTATTAATTTTTTCTAAATTTACTTCTATTGATACTTCCTAAACCATGATCAAGTAGGAGATGAAATAAGAATATTAAGGAAGATACTTATGGTGTTTTAGGAAGAACATGTCATATTTGTTATAATTAATTAACTTATCTAATGTTCTTAATCTAATCAAATTAGTTAATTAGATCTTATATTAATAACCTAACAGATATATTTATATAAAGGATTATGTACGAAATTACAACACAAAAAAATACCAAGATTGATGTGTGGTAACCACCGCATGGTGAAAGGATTGTGTTGTTTTCACAAGGCAATCTTACACATGGAAAGGTGTAACTCTTCATGAAAATGATATTGGATATCTTCTAGTTATTTAAATTATATTGATTTATGAAGCAACATATAATTGTGACTCTTAATCAAAGAGATATTACTTCTAAAGACATCTTTTCAAGGCATCACTCCATGATTTATATAAACTCCTCATACCATCACTCCATTTGAACAAGACAGGAGCATACAACATAGTGCAAATACAAATATACTAAGATCAAACTTATTACTTTTGTCCTTGAGTACTCATAGAAAAAGAGTTAAATTATCACTTTGTAAATATCGTTGTTATCTTAGCTTAAATCTTAGAAGTACAATTTATATTTAAAGATCTTGACTGTACCTTCAAAATTTTTTCTAATTAACCCAATTTATATCCTATAAGATAAAAGCAAGTGGGAACAAACTAAGCCTTAAAAAATTGCTGTCTATGTTTTGAATACACTGTGCACCGTTTTGAAAGAAGCATCCCCACCAACACGCCACAGAACTCCAACATGACAGTATGAAAGAAGCAATTGACGTGGCGTGTGAAACAGAAGAAATTTCTCACTGCCGTGCCAGGCCCGATAATTAATAATTAAAGATTAATTGATTTTGATGAATGCCTTGTAATTAATTACTACCTGATCTGACCACGTGCATGCTCGTGCTGAATATTCGCCGCCGTATTTCTCATCAGTTTTAATGTTTAGTGACAGCTTAGCGTGAAAGGTTTGGAAATTTTCACACGAAGCAGCCCAGGATTGGTGGGAGGGGCTTCCATTACAATACGTTCAAAAGCTGGCAGTACATGTATTCAAAAGCTGCGATTTGTTTGAACATTGAAGATTGCGATCGATTCAATTAAATGATTACTATTGGAACGAATGACACAAAGCAACCGGGAGGCGCATCAGAAATTGACCACTTTCCCAACCAATCTGGATACTTCTCGATCGTTATTTCGTTGGCGCTGTAATATGAAATTTTTTTCATAAATAGGATTACATTATTAATACTCCAATGGCCAAAAAAAAAAGTAACTAGTTAATACTCACTTCTACAATTAAAACAAATACACCCATTCTAGCTAATCAATCTAGCTATACAGACATGCCCAGAGTTTCATGAATAATTATGGTATCATTTATAGTTCTAAATATAGAAGTCAAATAAAATATTCATTTTTATTTTTAAATATAACATTTTAATAAATTCTGTTTTTTGAAACTCACGACTCCCTTCAAATTCTAAATATAACACGGGGTTTTTCACAGGTGAATTCACTGAATTGGAAATAATTAATTTACTTATCTTTTTTATATTTGAAAATTAATTAATGTATGCAGGGGAATGTGGAACAAAATAGTGTTTAAACTTTAAACTCAGACTGTGAATTAAGGAGGAAAATGGCAAGGGTTGAGACAAAGGGAGGAAAGTGCGAATAAATGATTGGGGTGAAGGTAAACAAAGGGAGGAAAAGGCGAAGGATGGGTCATGCACGTGGACGGATGGTGACGGACCGATGGTGACAGATGCGCGTGGTGGACCCCCACAACTACGACACCCACGTGGCCCCCGGAGCCCACACGGCACTCGCTGCCCCCCACCTTCATTTTCCCTTTTTTTTGTTTGCTTTTTTTTTTTTTTGGTTTTTAACTGGTAACCGCCTTGAGACCTCCTTATTACAAACGTGAACTTAAATTGGTCCAAGATTACCATTACTCCTACTATATCCTTTGTTTACTTTTTTGTGTGGTTTCCACATAAAATTAAAAAGATTATTAAATAAGGTGGATTATAATGGAAATAGTCTGGTTTTTAATACAAGTAAAATTAGTGATATTTTACTAAAATAACTTTGAACTGAATACTTTGTTAAATATTCTGTTTCGCATTGGAGGATATTAAAACAGCTGAAAGTATGGTTAATACTGTATTAAAATTATAAAGCGACATAGGAGTAAGATGATAACAGTATATTTTAAAAATTACCGTATTTAAGGAAAAAAACGCAAGGGGCAATTTTAGTGAAATTGGAGAGATGGCATCATGATCCTGGTACAGGAAGCCCTTATCAGAACCATTAATATTAGGCCCCCGAGACACGCGTTTTGCGTTTTGGAACTCCCTGCGTTGCGATTCATTCAATCCTCCACACTCATGGGGTTTGCGCTTTGGTCCCCCACGCTTTAATGCCACTGCACTACTTTGCAGCTACATTATTATGTTGAGAGGACAATTACCATTTGACTCGCTTTTCAGCCAACCACCCAAGCAGCAGACGCAATTCCATCTCCATTTGTTGTTGATGGAAACCAGCCACCTACCTATCCGATTTCCACAATTATTACTGCCTAATAAATAAATAACTGGTTAAGCTGAAAATGCCAATAACCCCACGTGAGAGTCATTCTGGTATGTTCTCGGGGACTCCTTGCACTATTTTTACACTTAAATCTCTTCTTCCCTTCTTCCGCTTCTCATAATGGAACGTTTCTTGGCAGTCACTTAGTTTCGGCACTTCATGTCCCTATGCTTTTGACGCATGAAGTATCCAATCAACATTACATTAAACATATTGCATATAAATTGAATTTAGAGAATGACCATACAACGTGTCACACTGCTAGGGTTGATTTCCATGCTGAAGAAGACTTTGTGTGATTTGATCCTTGCCCCAAGCTCTTTCCCTCCACATCTGCTCCACCTCATCAAATGTTAATCCTTTGGTTTCTGGGACGTACACAGCCACAAAGAGAAAGGCAAGCACGGCTATACCAGCAATAATCAAGAAGGTTGAGCCAGTCCCTAGGGCTGCAGCAATTGAAAGAAACGACTGAGCCACAATCAAGTTTGAAACCCAATTTACTGTAGCCGCCATTCCTCCACATATTCCACGATACTCTTCAGGATATATTTCGGAGTTTACTGTCCATGGTACAGGCCCCATCCCGGGCGAAAAGAAGGCAATATATAGGGCTAAACCCAAAATTGCAAGCCACCCATATAATCCATTTGTAGAGTCAGATGATTGGCTTGAAAATGACACAGACAAAAGGATCAGGGATGTGATAACTCCAGCTAAGCTATAAAGAGCCAATTTTCTCCTGCCTGCATGATCAATAAGGTAGATGCCAAGAACAGTGCCAGCAGCATTCATGGCAGCTACTATGAGGGATAGGAGGAGAGCAAGCTCATTGGAGCGGAAGCCAGCCATTTGGACAATCGTCGGGCTGTAGTACATAACCGTATTTATACCTGTAAACTGCTGAAAAGCCTGCATACAACTGGGATGTTATCAGAATATTTCTAATTTTCATGGAATGATATCATAGATGTTCAAGTGCAGAGCTAATCCCAATAAACTTCCAGAATAGGGGCACTTGAACCTAAAATGGCTTAATCAGAGATGCGTGCATTTGACAACAAAAAGGTCATGAAGCAGCAAAGCTGACATATCATTCACTCACCCACTTGAATCAGAGGTCAAAAGATGCACATATAGAACAGTATATTTTACCAAAACACCATATCCTCGTTGACTTGTTCATAGTTTATTACCTGCAGTCCTGCTCCAGCAAGGAATGCAAGTCTTATCTGTTTAAATTTAAAAACATCCCAGTATTTGATCTCCTTTGTTTTCTGATGGTCCTGCTCTGACTGAACTCTAAGAAATTCAACTTCATCCTCCAAGCGAGCAAAGTCATAGATCTTAGACAGCACATTAACAGCTTCATTTTGCCTATCCTGCTCATAGAGATAAAATTATAAGATGGCATTATGATTAATGTCGTTGGAAGGCAGCATCCTGAACTCCTTTTTCTTTTCTTTTTTAATAACGCGTGTCCGTACCTTCATGAAGAGCCATCTAGGGGATTCAGGCAGGAAAAGCATGAAGACAAATTGAATAACTGCCGGCAAACCTGAAACTCCCAGCATCCATCGCCATGTCCCTGGGACCTGACGGATGAAGAACGGGATAGGTTTTCAATGAAATAATAACAAGTTGGAAACAGAATATACGCTTAGACACTAGATCACTCTTTCTATCTCTTCTCATGCAATTTGTTTGAGGTTTGGAACAGTAAATCCTGAAACTCGTGAAAAACTAAAAAGCTCAAGAAATGTCAGCAAAATTTCAATTAATGGCCCGTGGCAAGTTTGTTAATAACGGCATGGTAATCCAACACAGGCACAGGCACGTCGCTACTCAGTCGCTTCATGACTGAACTGACAGCTAGAACCAAGTACTTCGACTTTCCAGCTTAGGCAGTTTGACATTTCACAGCAAAATTACAAATCATCAGTCACTGCTTAAGAAAATAATCTTGGATCCTTCAAACTGTCATGTTTCAGGAAAAGCATTTATAGAAGATTTTATGTTGCATTTATCATAAACTAGTATTTCTCCATAGAAATGAAGAGCACATAAACCGCAATGATGCTTGATCTTTGTATGGTACTTCTACAATGAGCTCAGCATCATATAAAATTTTAGAATTTCTACTACTTATAACCATCAATTGTATGCTAAGCTTGAATAACCTCTAATATTGTTGCAAGTTACACAAACCAAACCCAAAAGATGAAGCACGAAAACTAACCTGTGTAAAAGCAAGATTTATGAGGTAGGAAAGAAACTGCCCCCCGGTTATCATAAGCGTATTTGTGCTAACTAATCCTCCTCTTATTTCTGATGGCGATGCTTCTGCAATATACACAGGTGCAGTAACAGAAGCTATGCCTACACCCAGCCCAACCAAAAGGCGTCCCAGTATGAGAACATAAGGATCTGGTGCAGCAGCCATGACAACTGATCCCATAGTAAAAATAACATCAGCGATAAGTGTGGCTTTCTTTCTTCCATAAGCATCGTTAATCCAGCCACCTACTGCTGCTCCAATAATTGCACCAACAACAGCCATGCTGACAATTACTTCCTGGCAACACAGGTAAACATATCAATCCAATGAGAAAGCATATTAAGAATTTTTCTCGAGAAATTCTCAGAATTTTGGTGCGTCCTTTCACCTTTGAGCAGCTTGTCATGAAATGCTCAAAAGGTCTCAGCAAGAAGAACAATGATATATTGCTGTGGTTCCATCACAACTAGATTTCGGATCCTATGCATTGCATGCAGCTTGAGATCGGAAGCTAAATTGTTCACGACTCTATGTACAATGTGGCTTCCAATAGGCTGCATATGTTAATGTTGATGATTTGTGGTTTGAGTTCTTATGTATTTGATTGGAGAAAAAGGAACATATTTTCAACAACGTCTCTTGGTCCTCACGTTTGTTATGAGATACAATTGTGGATATGGCTCCTCTTAAGTGATGTGCTTGACCAAGTTTCCAGGGAATTTCAAACACTGATTTGAAAGAGGAAGGGCAAGTTCTTGTGTTTGCGAAACTTCTGTTTGCTGGTTTCTTTTCTTTTCTTTTTGTGTTTTTTCCCCCTTTTGTAACAAGATTTCTCCCCCCCGTAAACGCATCGTCTCACTTTTTTCCCAGTAATACATTTTTTTTTAAAAAAAAAGATTGATCTGTGCACAATGAAGTCTATTTCTGAGCTCCCAACATTGAAAGAGGGCATAGGATATTGTACCTGTAGAAAATTACTGTCTTTCACTTCCTGAAAATCATCTTTAATATACAGAAGGGCTCCTGATATAACGCCTATAATAAACAGCATTCCGACATGAGATTTTTTCCTTCTTTCTTTGTTTTTTGTTTAATCAGAGAAGTTATTCAGAATGAGCAACACTTTCAATAATACATTTAGTTTATATGGGATATTAGCTATAAGAGCGGTTCTCATGATGAAAGTATAGTGACAATAAGACATTGTGAAGAAAGTTAATTTTCACATTGCCTTTGTTACCTTTTGAGAAAACTTATATGAAGCCACATATTCATGCATACAAGTCAACCTGGTTTTAAAGAAAGAAATTTCTTTCAGCACAAGCCTCCCTTCTAAATGCTCCAATACTAGAAGCTAAAAGAAAATATGTATACAGAGCATATGTTAGTGATCAATAAATCATGTCTTTTCAATGGTCTGGAAATATTTATGCAAGGAATAGGTCAACAAACCCTTGATGCTATGCAATAGGGAGGTTAGTTACTTACTGAAGCAAGAATAAATTAAACTTTACCTAATGCACCAATCACAAGGATTTAAGTTGAATCAAATATGGTCAGATAAGCTTAATCAGTGGTTATCCTATTTCCACTCATCGACACTATAGTCGTCACCAATAATTGTGTACCTGTGTCGTAACCGAAGAGCAGTCCACCGATGCCGGCAACGGCAGTGAGTCCCAGAATATAAGGGTTCTTGAAAAGAGACATTTTCCTCTCAGGGTATAAATCTAAATACCCTGAGCTTCCTGGCGCGGACTGCATAATGATCGTCATCGTCGGGTACGAAACAAGAACACTCTATCTAAATGAGCGTACAATAAGCAAATCAACAGAGAAAAGACCCTAATTGCGCCACTTCACGTTGGAAATATTAACCCCCGAAATGGCCAGTGAACATAGGAAGATTCATAGGCTTGGAAATGAGAAATATAGTTAAGAGTGGGAAGCCATGAATAATTTCACAGAATCGAAAATGGGTTCACACTAGGGAGGAGTTACAATCAGAATTTGCAAAAACATGTTACACTGAGCTATGGGATTGGAAGAAAAGCTGGACGATTTCAGAGAAGAATTTGAGGCTTTAAATTCTGTTTGAGTAGTTTCCAGAAATAGAAATCAGCAGAGCAGCCACGCGCTACTGTGAGGACGAGGGAACTGAAACGTCAGCGCCAGCTGGAAGCTATCGCCGTTGTGCTAATCCGGTTAAAGGATGATGTGGCGCCTGAATTTTAAAATTATTTCTTACGGCAATATGTTTGGCGCTTTCATATAAAGTAATAAATTGGTTCTAGTAAATATTACTACTACTTCTAGTGTTTAGTATAAGATCTTATTTAATTTTTATTTTGGTTTTAAATATAAGACTGTAATTCATTTTATCTCTCATATTTATGTATTTTTTTAAAGATAGTCCTTCTAATAATGGTAGTTTTAATCAATACACTTTATTAGTAAAAATATTTTAGGAAAGACAACACATATTTATTACAAATAACTAATTTAATTTCTTTCTTTAATCTCTTCAAATTAATCAACTAGCTTTTATAATTAAGACTAGAGGTAGTACAATACTGGTACCAATATTTTTTTTGTGGCAACAAAATATTTCTATCCTATATACGTTTATAAAATATTTTTTTCGTATAAACTAAAAGTATAATTGTACTCTGAAGGTTATTACAAAGACGGTTCAAAGATAGAATGCGGTTAGAGCAAATGCTTCGGGCAAAAAAGAGTGGCTAGCTAGAGTAAATGCTTAGATTGAATTAAAAAAACTTTATGATCATTAAAGATTCTAGAAACAAAAATAATTGAAATGACAAAGAGCCTCTCCCCTCTCGGTGAGGCGGGTGGCATACGCACGCGGGAATGCCAAAGTGAGAGCTGCAGCACAGCGTTGCATGGCCGGGTCCCGGGTCCTGGTCCCACGGCGAGGCATGCACATTTTGTCCCATTCAACACAATTATTGCGTTTCTTTTCTTTCGCCAAAAAATAATAACAACATTCTGGTATTAAATATAAGATTTATTTTATATTATAAAATAAGTTATATTTTTAGAATTGGAAGAGTATAATTTTTTGTCCCTGAATTTTAATCCTATTTGAGTTTTGATCTCTTAAATTTTAAATCTGTGGTTTTAATTATTAAAATTTAATTTGTCTTAACACATTAGTCTCTAGAAATGTCGCAACATTAAAATTTACTTTAGTGTTATAAACCGTATTAAAATGATGATATCTAATGAATCCTGTGTATATATAAATAATAAAAATAAAAGATAAGCCCTTAAAATGCAATGCAAAAAATGATTATAGAGAAGAGAATGAGTTTTCAAAACATAAATTAACAATTCTTCAAACACAGTGATAGAACGGTAGGAAAAAAAAACGCTAAACAATTACTTTGAAAACCCCCCCCCCCTTTTTTTTTTGCTTTATTACCCATACAAGATCCATCTAAATGATATCCCGTAGGTCCGCATTACTACTTCATTACTGTTTGCAATATTTTTAACGCCGTTATATTTGAAAGAATTAACGTTTTAGAATGAATTAAATTTTAAAAACTAAAATAACAAATTCAAAATTTGAGATTTCGAAACTAAAACAGATCCAAATTTTAGGAATAAAAAATTATATTAACCTAACAAAAATTATTGCGTTTCATCATTGCTTGTTGTCACTCTCCAAACATGATCATTTTCTGGTTGTCAGGAAAATAATTATAAACAATAATTTGACTCTTCTTTTTGAAAAAAAAAACAACATAATTAAAAAAACACAAAATATGCCCTACTCAAATACAATTTACCCAATTTAAAGATATGATTCCTTCCTTATTGTAATCACAATAATACAGTAGGATCGTCACCCAAGTCTTGAAGGAAGAGGGGCAAATGAATTATTACTATACATAATTAACATCACCTCATTCTCAGAGCCAAAAATACCAAGTTTCATCCATCACTCCACCTGCCAAGAAGTAACAAGCAGATCCATCTCTGCTTGGAAGCAAAAAAAGAATGTGGGTGATTCTAAATCTCAGGCGAGTCTCAACGGTTCCAATCCTCTCTCTCAGCAGATGGAATATAACATCTTTGCAGGACAAACGTTATCTAAAATGCAAGTTAAGGTTATGGGATATCTTTCCCAAGTGGAACCAAAATTCGAAACTTATTGAAGCAGCAGCTGACAACCAACTTAACTACCTCCCGAATTCCTATTTCCATTCCCTTCTTACAAATGAAACTGATGTGGAATATAATAAATAGTTTCTCCATGAGGACGTGAGTTTGTAAAGAACCGTGACAAATTCAACTTTCCTGAGCAACCGTTCTCCATAACTTAAGCCCAACATGGAAGGCCCCGCTTCTAGTTTATCCTTCAGAATATATTTATTTAACGAGATTGGAGTTGCGAACTGGTTACATAATTGTAGTGAGGTTGGAATTGCTTGCTCGCCCGACCCGATTTATTCTTATGCAAAACAAATAGGAGTGCGACTTGGAGGAGCGATAAGCTTCCAAAAACATCTTCGAAAGCAGAAACATATGAGCAGACAACCCATAAAAGTACAAAATTAACCAGATTTCATTTCCCAGAACACGATTAAGTGCACAAATAATCGCTGATTATATTAATATTTATTTAAATCTAAAATATAATAATAATTTCTCCTGAGTTAAATAGTAATTCAAATGCTACTATTGTCACTCATAATCCATGAATAAGACGAAGAAGGAGAGATCAAGAGTACCTGTATCGTAGCCAAAGAGGAGAGGATCAGAAAACTTCAAATCCTGTGTTTATTCTAAAATGACATTGCTGTCGCCCATAAGCTAGTCACAAACGAATCAAACGCCGACGCTGCAGAAAGACGACAAATAGCAATTTCATAATTTTTCTTTCAACAATTTGGTCCGATCCGACAATTTTGTGCTTATCTGGAACGTGGCTTGGACACAAGCGAGATGACGTGGAAATGTGGAATAATGAAATAGTAGAAGAAGATGGATTAATTTCTTACATCAGCGTCGCCACATATAGAACATGATAATATTGGGCGAAGTTGATGATATCCACGAATTGAGGAGGCAATGGCGCGCGTCGGGCTGCGATACGGGCCTTGAAATTTGAGTCGCTTTCCCTCTATTTGGTACACGTGGCGCGCCTTGTGAGATCGCGATGGAAAATGTTGGTGGAAAGGTTCAGGAACCCAAAAAAGGGTGGGTATTAGAGCAGCGTGAAATTCAATGACTTTGAATTACTTTATTTTAAATGATTTCGTCATTTGCAAAATAAATATGCAAGAAATTTTATCTCCAACAAAATAAAATTTTATTCAGTGCTTACATGGATATTTTAAAGGAAAAATCACCCAAACAAAATAGTCAAAATTATGAAATCGCGAATCAAATATTTTGTCAAAGATTTGTTGTCAAAACTTATGCAAGTCTTGTAATGGATCTTAATTTGTAATTTATAATTTTTATAATATTTTTAAAGAAAACAATCCCAATAAGCGCGTCTATAAATTTTGTAATACTCTTTTGGTTTTATTTATAGGACAAAGAGAAAAGATATTTTTTAGTCCTATTTATAACGTATTGAGAGAAATTTTAGGTATTGATATACAACTTTACTCTTCATTTATTATTGTGTTAATTTTATTTATATGAAATATAATGTATATTAACTAAAGATAAAATTAGAAAATTATTGGATTTTAAATGAGAATTAATAAAATTTAAAATTTTTCTTAGTGTGTATAAAATACACTAAAAATAATTTATAAATAAGACTAAAGAAGTACTTTATATTCAAACCATTTTCTTTGCGGAGGTAAAAACATTTTGGAAGAATTATAATCAAATTTCACAAAAGAGAAATAATTATCAAAAAGTCTCAATAACAACCTGAACAGCCTATGACAACAAGTCTTATAATGAGAATGACAGTTTTTTAGACTTGTTTTTAATTATTTTTCTTACTTGGAACCCTAATTCTCCCAGACATTTTTCTCCGATTTGGTGAAATATTAGTTGGCGCATGATCCAACGTAAAGAGGACAGCACATGAAAGGGGAGCCCGTGAGTTGGGTCGGACGAGGCCTAACAGAAACAATTTTCACGGTATTTTCTTTTTCTTTTTTCCGATGCTAATTATAAAATTTTATTTGTAAATTGCAAATAATGTTTTTTAACCAGAGGTAGTATAAATTAACTGTGCCATTTTTATTTTCTGTGTTATATCTACATCGAATGAATATAAATTTTAAATCTTTACTCATATTTCATCCATTTATTTAAAATATTTTTCTCATTTATAATTTTTTTAAATGGAGAACTGCATAAGGAAAATAAGAGAAGGTGTGTAAAGGACGAATGGAGGATCCACTCTGGGTTTGTGGTTGATATTAGTTTATGTCGGTTAATTTTTTTTTTCCTACAATAACTATCTTAAATATGTTTCGCTGCCGAAATTGAGATTCTAAATATCATCTTAATGGTTTGGTTTTTTTTTCCAAAAGTAATCTGAAGAAAATAACCATTTAAAGACTCCTCCGTGATTATAGAAATATATCATTATCTTGAAATCTAAAATTCATGTTCCCTTAAAATATTATTATTATTTTAAAAAAAGCACACTATGATGTTTTAAGATTGTAAGTCATGCTTACTGAGTGATTCTATCACCAAATGTATTTTACGCTTGGTATTATTGGATCATATTTAAAAATTGTTAGATTTAAATGAGATTGTTCTCTCAATATAATTTGTTCTTTGTTTTTTTCACCGACTTGCAATATAATTTATTCGTCCGAGGATTATGAGCTTATAAATATTTTTTTTGGGTGATATGAGCTTATAAATTTTTGCACCAACTATTGTAGGTCATATTTGATTCCAGAAAACAGGCAGAGTTGGTTTAGGCTCCAAAATTATGAGGCCTGAGTTTAGAATTTTTCTTTTCAAATAAAAAACACACTTAAAAAGGTTGGCTTTATAGTTTAGATCTTTTTATATATTTTTTAAAATTCTTTATATAATAATATTAATAATATTTTAAATATTTAGTTATTATTATTTTAAAATTAAATTTTATGAAATGGTTTGATTTATTTGATTTTAAACAATAATTTGTTCATTTAAATTACAAAAAACAAGTCAAACCGGCCAGCTTGAATCGATCAACTTAAGAGTCAATCCCAATAAAATAAAACATTCCTGAAATTTTTGCCTCCACAAGGCCGGCCTATCCACTCCCGCGGTTGTATTCCCAGTAACGGTCATGTTTAATACTTGATCACATGAAATTGTGACGTCACTAATGCAGAAAAAATTGAATTGAAGAGCAAAATTCTCCGTCCAGTTCTGAGAGATTAGTTATCCAGTAATCTAATGATACAGTAATAGTAACAATTAACTACACGTTGTGGGTCTGGTCCATGCATATGGACATGCTACCCGTCCTAATTATAAGACTTTGTTTGTAGAATACAAACAAGATCTTATAATTAGAACTGTAGGTAGTAATTATAAAGTATTTATTGAAAAATGTTGCTTTTCCAATTCTAATTATTGAATATAAAATTTTACTATTAACTAATTAACTAGTAAATATAATAAAAAATAGATAATTTTGTTATTCATGATCAATATACATGAAACCTGACAAACAGGGTTTGGTTTAGAAAGAGTTAATCGCTCACAACGTGGTGAATCAATATTTGAATTTTTACTAAAAGAAATGTCCATGTTTAGTACTAAGTAATACATCAAATAGGAGTGTCTTCAATCGGAGGATACCTATTCTTAGCAAAATTTTGCATGAAATTTGCTATGCTTTTAAAAAAAACATCATATTTAATAATTAAAATTTAATATGCAGGGATAATAATGTCTCAATAAATTTGGATATTATGAGGAAAAATTAATATGAGAAATGAGAAAATGTGATTTTATACTTAAAAAGGCAGCATATGTTTAGTTGATTGACTAAGTTCGCCGAAAGGGTCATGGTGTGCGACCATGCGAGTTTAGTAATTGAGAGGGTTGGGCCCAATGGAGAAGCGAACACCATCAGAGGGACGCGTGAGCGCCTCGTATTCGTTCAAATAAAACTCTTGAATAATACTCCTCCGGTCCTAATTATAAGACCCAATTGACTTATTTGAGGAGATTAAGGAAGTAAGTTAAGTTGGTTATTTATAATAAATAAGTGTTGTCATTCCTAAAATATCCTTGCTAATTAAGTATATTGGCTAAAACTATCATTATTAGAAGGATTATCTTGGAAAAAAATGCATAAATATAAGAGACAAAATGGATTGGGTCTTATAATTAGAACCAAATAAAAAGTCAAACTGGGTCTTATAATAAGGACCGGAGGAGTATTATCAAAACAGTATGCTGCGTCATTCAGCTCATTTAATTAATTTAATTTTCAAATGAATTTATGAGGCCCCCCCCCTCTAGATTATTCTGGCATGTGGTAGTTCACTCGGGGCGTCTTGCTTGAGAGGTGACAATGACTCCATCTTCTACTCATCAAATGTAGCTTTCTATTTTTTTTTCTCTCCACGTATAAACTTTCCCTTAGGCAGAAGGCCTGTGGGATATATAAAAAATATAACATTTAACATTTTGATATTATTTTTCTAATATTCTGTATCTTAATATTATTTTCTGAGTGTATTTAGCATCTTGAATCTCTAATTTTATTTTTTTGATGAGTCCAACACTACAATATTCATCTTTTTATCAGCGTTCAGCACTCTAATATTATTGTAAGTTTAGAGTGTTTGATGCCACATAAAATTATTAGTGCTGGATGTACAGAAAATAAAATCAAAGTGACATATACTCGTAATAAGATTAGGATGGTTAATGCTAAGTAGAAAAAAGGAGACAGCGAGGGAATGTCATGCCTAAGTCGACCATGGAGACAAATGAAGCCTGACAACGTAGAAACAAGGAAGCAAAAAGAATACGAATTGAATACGGATTTGCTGGTTTTTTTCCTTTTTTTAAACCTGGCCACTGATATGATGCACCTTTTTAAGCATGTGCACTTCCAATCCTATTTTCAGGAGAATACCCCCGGGGGGAGGGGAGAGGTAGAGTCCAGCGACTCAGTACAGAGTTTATCCCCACCGGCTTGCTGGCTCCAATCCATGATTCAATAACCAATACTACCTCCGGTCTTAATCATAAGAACCAGTTAACTAATTTGAGGAGATTAAAAAAATAAGTTAGTTAGTTATCTGTAATAAATATGTGTTGTTTTTTCTAAAATATCTTTATTAATCAAGTGTGTTGGTTAGAACTACAATTATTAAAAGAACTGCCTTGGAAAAAAAATTTATAAATATAAGAGACAAAGTGAATTGAAGTCTTATATTTAGCAGCAAAGTAAAAGTCAAACAAGGTCTTATATTAAGTACCAAAGGTATTACTTTTTCTGAGGTCATTTGAATATCACGCAAGTTTAAAACTGTAGCCATTCTCTCACACTGTAAACAGAGACAGAGTACCAAGCAATCAATTATCTGAGGTCATTTTCCCCTGATTTTGCGGCCAAGAATGATTTTAGATGTTGCTTAGTCTAATTTCTTCTTTTAAAAAAAAAAGGAAAAAAAAAAAAAGAAATCTCCTTTGCCCTGAGCAAACCTTTAGGAAGCAAGGGGCATCCCAGGATAATTCCTGTATGTTCTATTCTCCACACGGCATGCCCCTGTTTCAGCAGACAAGTAGCATGTTCTTTTGCTTAGATGCTGTCCTCTGTTTCTCTTGTGACAAGTTAAAAAATAAAAAATACAACATCTTAATTCTTCTTCCATTTATTTTTACTTTCTTACTTTTCCATCCTCCTCCAAAATGCAAGGTAACATATTGCTTGGATAACTTGTTAGTTCCAAACTTGTACTTCACCGAATGCTAAGCTAGCATGTAATTTGTGTCCCTGGAGGATTTTAGCCTTTAAGCTAAAACCCAATTTGTTTAGGTACAATAATTGACCATATAAGAAAGAAAGTATATGAATGGCCCATTGAATTCAGATAACAACCTGCAGATGCTATTTATTTCCTTTCTCAAAGAAGGCTTTCTCTTTTGTAATCCCTTCCCCAGGCCCTTTCCTTCCATAGCTGCTCTACTTCATCCAGTGTGAGTTGTTTTGTCTCTGGGACAAACAAGGCGACAAACAGAATAGCAACTAGAGCTATACCAGCAAGGATCAAGAAGCTCCCACCAAGTCCTAAAGCATCAGAAACTGAAAGGAAGCTTTGGGACATTATCACGCTTGAAATCCAATTCACTGTGGCTGACATGCCTCCACATAAGCCACGGTATTCTTGAGGATATACCTCAGAGTTTACTGTCCATGGCACCGGTCCCATCCCTGGCGCAAAGAAAGCAATGTACAACGCTAGGCCTAAAACTGCAAGCCATCCATAGTTTCCATCATGAGAACCTGATGAATCTAGGAAGGATCCAGCAGAAAGGATCCCCAGAGAAACAACCACGCCAGATAAACTTGCAAGAGCCAGCTTCTTTCGCCCTGCGTGGTCGATAAGATAAATGCCAAGGATTGTTCCAGCAGCATTCAAGCTGGAGATAATGAGGGATAGGAGAAGAGCTAATTGTTTGGAATGAAAGCCAGCCCTCTCTATGATTGTTGGGCTGTAGTACATCACAATGCTGATGCCAGTGAACTGCTGAAAAGCCTGCAAAAAGTCATAGGACAGTCGTAAGAGAACCTTCTCTGGTTACATTTAATGGTTTTTCATTACCGTCAATTTAGAAGAATATCATACCAGATGACACTTATACCCAACTTCGTCAGCATATGCTACCGCGTTTTCTAAGACAAAACATTACTTGTTGAATCCTACGTATAAAATCCTCAACATGCCATAAAGAATTGAGAACTGGTAGCAAACTCTCAGAGATCGCATTGAAGTTTAATAATAGGTTGAAAACAACATATTGAGAAAAGGGGCAATGACTCAAAATTCATGGAAGAAGATGGCTGTATTTTTGCCTTTGGTTTGTTTTAAATGAGTTGGTGGATCGGTGGAAAATGAGGAACAAGGAGTCAGCACATAGTGGTCGGATATGGAGGTTTCCATTTAAGAAGCATTAGAAGAATATAATACAAGTAGTTAACAACAACTTACGTGAAAATGTTGAAAGATTAATCCATGTTCAATTGTGACCCCCATATGACCAAATGTATGCATATTTCTTTTTTCTACCGCAAGACATGTTGATCTTACCCTTCTCTCATGGAGGTAGGGCATTCTGAAGGATCATTCTAAACACCAGGATAATCCAAGTTCAAAAACAAGAAGAGTTTCAAGAAAAATCTTAAACCTGAAGTCCGGCCCCTGCAAGAAATGCGAGTCTAATTTCTTTAGTTTTGAACACATCCAAGTATCTAACTTTGCTTTGCTTCTCAAGTTCTTCCTCCAACTGGGCACAACAATATTCCACTTCATCCTCCAAGCGATTCGTATCATAGATCTTGGAAAGGACTGAAACTGCTTCATCTTTCCTATTCTGCAAACATTTGAAGACAAATAATAAAGCTTTTAGCAGAGGAAACATCTCAGAATAACACTCTCTAGTTTAATATTCATTTAATGAGAGGATCAATTTTACCTGCATAAGAAGCCACCGTGGTGACTCAGGTAGGCAGAGCATGAGACAAAACTGAATGACTGCCGGCATACCAGCAACACCTAGCATCCATCGCCATGTTCCAGGGACCTGCTTTGTCAAATATTGTGCAAGAAGGTTATCCAGGAAGAAACCTCTAGTTGACTGAAAAACCTGACAGAGAAGCTTCAAAAACATATAGCAAAAGAAATAACTGGTCAACTCTGTATAACAGTATTTCTATTTGCACTTCTCTTATGATAAAGCACATATAAAATCCATAGTAAACCTCTTTTCCAACTCTAGTTGTTGTCCTCTAGTTGAAGCCGATGTTTTGTTGACATCTATACATCTTAGCAACTTATAAAAATTTTCTGTTGCCAGAGAAATCAACAGCCATCAAAACGGAAAATGAGAAGTCAAATCCAAAGGAAAGGATTTCCAGTATAATCGATTGGAACTACATTGCCAGAAAATACCAAATACTAATTCTAGGATACTGTCCCCCTGACATATAATGTTTACAAATGTAATTTGTAAAGAAGGCAGAATAAAGCTAACCTGTGTGAAAGCAAGATTTATGAGGTAGGAGAGAAATTGTCCTCCAGTAATCATAAGCACATTTATGCTCACAAGTCCTCCTCTGATCTCTGAGGGCGCTGCTTCTGCAATATACACAGGTGCAGTTACAGAAGCTTTGCCCACGCCAATACCAACAAGAAGACGTCCAAATATGAGGACATATGGATCAGGAGCCAGTGCCATAACTATTGATCCCAAGGCAAAGACTACATCAGCAATAAGGGTGGCCTTTTTACGCCCAAATTCATCATTAATCCAACCACCTAATGCTGATCCAATAATTGCACCAACCAAAGCCATGCTTACTATTGTTTCCTGGCATTTTAAAACTGTTAGAATCTTTGAATGAGGGAGAAATCGTGCAGTAATTTTACTTTACTTCCAATTGGCTGAACTCGTGGCGCTTGGTAAGAGTACAACGAAAACTACTCATAGACCTTCATCTAACTAATTATTCTAAGTTGGAGTGATACTTGACATATTCCACCGCTTTTACAGATTAAACCATCTACATTCGTGTATGATGTATTTATTTTTGTGAACACAAAAGATCCAACGTGGAGTTCCAGTGTCTAAGTGGTAGGGTGTGCTGATGCTTTGTTTAGACACAAAAGGCTTGATATGTTGTCTGATGCGTGAAATATGAAACAAGGCATGATATGGGTATATTAAATTTTGGATTCTTTAGATTTAGAATCAAGAGGGAACAACACAAACTTGTATACCTGCAGGAAACTACTCTGATTCACCTCTTCAAAATCATCTTTAATATACAGGAGTGCTCCTGATATAACACCTGTAACATATAAAGGGCTTAAAAAGAAGCACGATCATATTCTTTCTTAAGTTGTCTTGAGTCCAATACAAATTTAACCAAGTTTGAAGAAAAACTTGATTTCTAATATCTAAATTGATTGAGTCGAAATTTAGATTGTAAATAATAGAAGTAAAGATAATATATGCTTAAGTGATTGTTAATCCACTCTTTTAAAACTTGAACTAATGCCCCTTTCGGTTATAAATGTAAAATTTGGCAGATGTGTTTGTTTTGTTTTTTAAGTACTATCTCTTGTCCTTAATATAAGATCCCATTTTACTTTTATTTTGGTCCTAAATATAAGACCTTAATCCAATTTATCTATCATATTTATACATTTTTTTTAAAATAGCCCTTCTAATAATAATAGTTCTAGTCAATACACTTGATTAGCAAGGATATTCTAGGAAAGATAACACCTATTTAGGACAAATAACTAACTCAACTTACTTTCTTAATCTTTTCAAATTAGTCAACTGGCTCTTATAATTAGGACTGGAAGTAGTATAAAATTTCAATATATTTTGTCCTTCAAAATTTATAATTTTTTTAAAATTCTCCTTTATTGAATATAAATAGTAACTAATTTTTCTGTTAGTTTTCAGATTAAAATAAAAAATTTATGAAAACTAAGGAACAAGTTTTACAGATAACTAACTATAATTTTTACCTAACTCACAGAAGTGATTTTCTTAATTTTTACAAATTACTTTTATTTCCGGACTGAAAGGAATATAATCAAATTAATTGAATAATTGTAACAGCAAGATTATTATGATCCTTTCATTAAAAAAAAAAAAAAAAAGACATATTGCATTTTCACCCTGAAAAATTCAAGTGAGTACTGTAACAGGGATGCCAGGTAAACATAAGAAATACTCCATCCACTTAAATCTAGGATCTAATTTGCCGAACGGAGTACCGTATTTGAACAAGAACCTCCATTACCTGTGTCGTAGCCGAAGAGGAGACCGCCTATCCCTGCGACGGCCGTGAGAGCCAGAATGTAAGGGTTCTTGAACAACGACATTTTCCTCTCTGGATACAATTCTATGTACCCCGAGCTTCCCGGCGTGAACTCCATCGAGATCGTCGTCTTATCACTCCCAAAATTGATTCAGAAAAATGATAATTCTTTCTGCGCTCTGTTCATATATGCAACGCAAGATTTTCTTGAGAAAATAATGCACATTCCGGGAAAACCGAGAGATGGCCCGGAATCATCCGAGTTCTGAAAGCGATCCACTGGGGACATCATTTAAAGAGAAGAAAGGGACCCTTGCGGAAAAAATATCAACAAATTATTGCTTCTCCAACATGCATCTTTCACTACTCGATCTATGGAATTAATCAGCTTCATCACTATTAAACTGATTTTTAACTGCCAAGAGAGTGCCAGTACCATCCATCACTGTGAGTGGAGAAAATATTGCAAGCTTTAAACGATTGCAACTGACATTTAGCATCACGCTGACACACCAGAAAGTTTCATGTTTAAGGTAATACTTTCGGTGTAACTTTTGAAAGCTGAATTGAAAAATATATATATGTTTCTGCATAGTCTATTCAATAGTCCATATGTGGAGCCCTTAGTTTAACCGGTCTCAATAAACGCTGAAAAACATGGTTGTTTTACTTTTAAGAAAACGAATAAAATAGCGTTGGCTTCAAGTGTAGGCCGAAGGATAAAGAAGATGATGACTGAAGAAGAACACTATTGAAGAAGAGGAAGAAAAGATGAAGGAAAAATAGAAGATGAAAGAAGCAAGAGAGAAAAAAGCTATGAAATCGAAAACCTACCCAGAAACAGAAACATAGCGTGTTATTGCAGATTGAAGAGAGATACAGGGATGAACGAGTGAACGATGCAGGGATACAAAGATGAGTGTGAACAAATGGTGCAGGGAGACATGGGAGCGGGAAGAGAAAGAAGATCTTAATTTTCTCTTCTAGAGAATCGAAAAACATTTTTTTTTCTTGAAAATTTTGAAAATAGATTTTAATTTAATTCTCATTATTTGAGATTACTTTTGAGAAAAGCTTGAGCGAATGTGACTCTTGGTTTCCGTACTGGCAAAAAACGTGGGAAGCAGAGGGAAATCAAAATGGTAAGAAAACAGAGAGGCAGAAGTGGCGAAGCAGACTCCATACCCATATAATGTCTCAGAGCAGCTCACATGATATTTGTCATCTGAATAGAATTAGGAGAAGAGATTGGGAGGGAGACGATACTTACTGAATATTAATGCCAAGGAAAGCACCTACTGAATATTGATACAGAATCAGAGTGAGCTCTAAGAGCATTCCAGATAAAATCTCATCCTTCTCTCAGCACTATGTATGGTTGGTACAAGGGAACTAGGGGAAGGAACGGAAAATTTTAATGAGTTTAATTTAAAATTTTAAAAAAGTTGGGTCATAAAATTTTAATAAAGAGAATATATAAGATAAAAGAATAAAATTAGTTAAAAATTTAATCTTTACTTTCCCAGAACGATATCCATCTTGAGGTAAAGATCCACTTTCTTGAGCCCACGGTAAACACGAAAGAGCATTGATTCCCTGCAAAAAAAAGAAAAAGTATCGATAATAAAGAAATAAAAAAGTATCAGAGTATAACAGAAAGGGACTAATCCCTCTTAATATTACCTCGACTAGGATTGCATCCAATCGGAGGATATTTATATTTTAGAAGGAAAAAAAAAAGTTAAAAAAGTGGCGGGGCTGAAGAAAGCGCACCAGAATCCATTCCCATATAGTGTCTATGGCTGCCTCACATGGGAAAAGAGGGGGTAACTTCTGAATCCGCACCTCAGCAAAACAATTCTTCAAACACAGTGATAGAACGGTAGGAAAAAAAAAAGCTAAACAATTACGTTTTGAAAACCTTTTTTTTTTTTTTTTTGCTTTATTACCCATACAAGATCCATCTAAATGATATCCCGTAGGTCCGCATCACTACTTCATTACTGTTTGCAATATTTTTAACACCGTTATATTTGAAAGAATTAACGTTTTAGAATGAATTAAATTTTAAAAACTAAAATAACAAATTCTAAATTTGAGATTTCGAAACTAAAATAGATCCAAATTTTAGGAATAAAAAATTATATTAACCTAACAAAAATTATTGCGTTTCATCATTGCTTGTTGTCACTCTCCAAACATGATCATTTTCTGGTTGTCAGGAAAATAATTATAAACAATAATTTGACTCTTCTTTTTGGAAAAAAAACAACATAATTAAAAAAACACAAAATATGCCCTACTCATACAATTTACCCAATTTAAAGATATGATTCCTTCCTTATTGTAATCACAATAATACAGTAGGATCGTCACCCAAGTCTTGAGATGCATCTCAAGGAAGAGGGGCAAATGAATTATTACTATACATAATTAACATCACCTCATTCTCAGAGCCAAAAATACCAAGTTTCATCCATCACTCCAGCTGCCAAGAAGTAACAAGCAGATCCATCTCTGCTTGGAAGGAAAAAAAGAATGTGGGTGATTCTAAATCTCAGGCGAGTCTCAACGGTTCCAATCCTCTCTCTCACTTAATCCACATACTGTGACAGTATTACAATGCTATCACTGGCGTCAAACCATGCAGACGCAGACACCTAAGTCCTGTTTTCTTGCCCAAGAAGGTTTTGTGTGTTCTGGTTCTTTCCATAAGCTCTTTCCTTCCATATCAACGACACCTCTTCGAATGTCAAGCCTTTTGTCTCGGGCACAAATATAGTCACAAAGAGTAGTGCAATCACAGCTATAATGCCGAGGATCACAAAACTCGAACCAAGCCCCACGGCATCGACGACTGACAGAAAGCTCTCGGACATTACCACGCTGAAAATCCAGTTCGTGGTGGCTGCCATGCCCCCACATACTCCTCTGAATTCTTCAGGATAGATTTCAGAGTTCACGGTCCAGGGCACAGGCCCCATCCCTGGCGAGAAGAAAAGAATATATAGGGCTAACCCTATAACTGCGATATACCCATAGATTCTATTTGAAGGGTCAGACGCCTCAAGGTAACACCCTGTTGAGAGAACAGCCAGAGATCCAATAACACCACATAAGCATGAGATGGCCAACTTTCTTCGTCCTGCATGGTCAATAAGATAAATGCCGAGAATTGTTCCGGCAGCATTCATCCCAGCAACAATGAGAGAGAGAAGAAGAGCTTGCTTATTGGAACCGAACCCAGCCATCTCAATGATTGTGGGGCTGTAGTACATAATTATGCTAATACCAGTGAGCTGCTGAAACATCTGCAGAGCAAGGAATCGAGTTTTTCAAACTAATTAATGAATTTAATCTCCAAAGATATACACAAGAACAGATCACTACCAAATCCCATAACAATACACATTTAGATGCAAGCAATTATGAAAGCACACATTTGATACATGCCAAGACTAATGACTCGCATAGATTCATCGTAGCTTATAATAACTTGGATGCTCATCGCATATGAAGGACAGTGAGAATGAAATTGATAGAAGCTTTCATTGGGATACTTTATATGCAATTTAACGTCAATTTGTTGTACAAGGAACCTCTTCAATTCAATAGAGTACAATATTAAAGTTAAAACAAGAGATTCTTTTCCATTTTAATATGGCTACTGGCTTGTCAACCTCAGGGATGGACGTCCATTTTGATTTCTTTGCACATATATGGTCCTTCATTAGAGGCGAAATGGCTTTACTTTTTTCATCGAATCCAAACCAAGAACTACAGCACTGACATTTGGACAAAAGGATATTTAGGTTAAACAGTATCAAACATGAGGACTTCAATCTAGACACAATGAAAAAGTTCGAGTAAAGTCTCTGAAACCTGAAGTCCAGCCCCAACAAAAAATGCAGCTCTGATTTCCTTCGATTTGAAAACATCCATGTATTTAACTTGGCTCCGTTTCTGACGTTCTTGCTCAGCCAGATCAGTAAGGTAATCAACTTCATCCTCTAAGCGTTCATAGGTATAGATCTTAGTGAGCACGACCACAGCTTCATCTCTCCTGTTCTGCACCCAAAGAGGAAAAAATAAGATCGAAAAGGAGGACAGACACCAAGAAGCCATTTCGTTGGCAGAGTGGAAAAAGTATGTAAATGGAAGCCCAAAATTAAATAAGTTTTGTATTTGGAAATATCCTTTGTGTCCCTCAATTTAAACAAATAATAATAATAGAAAGGACTACTATTATTAAATAATAAGAACAGGTGCACATTAGATATTAATCTCAACCGTAACTCATCAAGTCATATGAAATATGAATGCTTCTCACCTTGAGAAAAAGCCACCGTGGAGACTCTGGCAAGAAAATCATGAGGATAGCCTGGACAAAAGCTGGCACACCTGCAACTCCCAGCATCCATCGCCATGTCCCAGGTACCTGCTCGATTTAGATTTCAGGAAGAGATTAGTCAGAGGATTATCAGAACCTTAAGTACAAGTAATATAATACCATTGCATCAAAAAATGACGGGGAAAACAACCTGATCCTGCTCTCATTTCAGAAACTCTCCATTGAATACCATTAAATCCCCTTTTAGTTTTAGAAATTCAAATTTAATAAGGTCAGGACTGCACATGCTTGCAACTATTTGAGATGAGCTACTTGATTGACGCTGCAGCGTAACATCTGCAACTCCAAGTATCCGATTTTCCAACATATCATATATGTCACCAGTAATTTACTAGTTACTGTAAAATGCGGGGAACTGACTCACAAGTGAACCCTCTCGATAGTAATGTTTTCCATCTTCAGGCTATTGATGATGACTCAGGCAGCCAAATAAGAATATTTACTAGTGTCATTGACATAGGATTTATTGAAAAGATTTGGCATTTGAGAAACTCTTGAAAACTAATGATGAAAACGATGAAAAGATTTTCTAAGAAGATACTTGGTTATATCTTTCTTTCTCTTTAGGTTGGTAGATCATGCATAAAGAAAACTTCCAATAAAGCTTTAGAATGAATAACAAGGTAAGGTGAACTGGCTGAGGTGAACTGGCTGCACAATGCTATAAGAATTAAAGTGAAAGCCAGAAGCATGCAATGAAAGATTAAAAGAACTATGCATTATTAGAGTTAGGCAGGAAAGAACAGACGAAGTTCCTTCACTGATGCTACCCCAACTTCTATCTTGTTTCTTCCCTTCAGCTATTAATGAAGCAGTAACTGGTGATTTGAGTTTTGTCTCCACAACCCCAGTTACTTGATCAAATATATAGAGGGCACTGCTACGATTACTAAAGGCATGAGTTAAGAAGGAAGGAAACAGCAAATAATTTTCTTACAATAAAATGAAGTGACATGATGGAATCAAAAAAGATAATCAGTAAACAACAGCAACATATAGCCCCCATAATACACATCCACTCAAATTCCTGCAGTCTATTGCATAGGTTACTTCCGTACAACATTTATATGCTAAAGATGGGTGTCAGTGGCAACACAATTAGGAAGGTAGAGTGAATACCTCACCTCTGTAAAAGCAAGATTTACGCAGTAGGAAAGAAACTGTCCACCAGTTATCATAAACACATTTACGCTCACTAATGAGCCCCTTATTTCTGATGGTGAAGCCTCTGCAATATACACTGGAGCGGTGACAGAAGCTACACCCACACCAAGGCCAACCAGAAAGCGCCCCAGTATGAGAACCCCTGAATTTGGGGCAAGAGCCATGACAATTGCTCCAGTAACAAAGACAATATCAGCACTAAGAGTAGCCTTCTTACGTCCAAAGACATCATTAATCCAACCACCTCCTGCTGCTCCAACAATTGCACCAATTAATGCCATGGCAACAATTGTTTCCTGGAAACTTATAGTATTATTGATCCATCACAAATACAAATAAAATTGGAGAACAAAATAGGAAAGTATAAACAGACAAAAGAATGATATGCTGCAACTAGCATTAGATGTAAACCTAATTTTGCCAACAAAAATGCTGTAATTGCAATGAGGAACTGTAAATGAAATATACTCATATATCCACGGGTTCTTTTCCCCCCCTTTTCCAATAGCCAATATTGGCTCTGCATGAATACAATCATAGCTCTCGCAACATGTATAACCATCTGAGTAACCAAACAAACGAGATACTTCTGAAACCTACAAAATTCAATAGAGAGAAAGTTTGCACCTGAAGGAAACTACTATTTCTAACATCCTCAAAATCATCTTTAATATACAGAAGGGCTCCCCCGATAACACCTGCAATGAACAACATTTCCAAATGAGGCAAACTATCCGTCAGAAACAAGCAACCTATGAAATGGCAAAAAAAGACACACTCATGCACACACATACAGAGGCTGGATAAAGTTGAAAGCCAGAAAAATCCAGTATTAAACAAATCACTTTTTCAAAAAAGGTTTAACCCACAATCACAGATTATTAACTTGAAAATTCTCTGTATCCAACCTTCCAGTAGCATTTTACTGTTTCTTATTTCACTCTGCATTAATCATATACTATGATACAAGGTCACTTAAAACTGTGTCATTGTCTAACACATGTCGGACTTTTATTTAGACATGACGTAACACTATAAAGTTTTATCTTGACTCAGTCTCCGTGCTTGTGTTGGCTTCCAAGCTCATATGATGATAAAAAATTCCCAGCCTTTACTCGAAATACGCCAAGCATAGCATTAAAGGAGGACATCAATCTCAACGCCGCCCAATGTTGAAATAGACAGCAACATATACATTATTATGCTCTAGATGAGCAGTTCGGCAAATGGAATATAACATCCTTCCAGGACAAATGTTATCTAAAGTGCAAGCTAAGGTTACGGGATATCTTTCTCAAGTGGAACCAAAATTCGAAACTTATTGAAGCAGCAGCTGACAACCACCATAACTACCTCCCGAATTCCTATTTCCATTCCCTTCTTACAGATGAAACTGATGTCGCATATAATAAATAGTTTCTCCATGAGGACGTCAGTTTGTAAAGAACCGTGACAAATTCAACTTTCCTGAGCAACCGTTCTGGATAACTTAAGCCCAACATGTAAGGCCCCGCTTCTAGTTTGTCCTTCAGAATATATTTATTTAACGAAATTGGAGTTGCGAACTGGTTACATATTGTACTGAGGTTGGAATTGCTTGCTCACCCGACCCGATTTATTCTTATGCAAAACAAATAGGAGTGCGACTTGGAGGAGCGATAAGCTTCCAAAACATCTTCGAAAGCAGAAACATATGAGGAGACAATCCATAAAAGTACAAAATTAACCAAATTTCATTTCCCAAAACACGATTAAGTGCAAAAATAATCGCTGATTATATTAATATTTATTTAAGTCTAAAATGTAATAATACTTTCTCCTGAGTTAAATAGTCATTCAAATGATACTATCGGATATTCAGATTTGAAAATATTCTCAGCAGGAACAGTGAGGGTTACGGGTCTCACTGTCATCACTCATAATCCATGAATAAGATGAATGAGAGATCAAGAGGACCTGTATCGTAGCCAAAGAGGAATCCACCTATGCCAGCTGCTGCAGTGAGTAGGAGTATGTAAGGGTTCTTGAAAAACGACATTTTTCTCTCAGGATACAGTTCCAAGTACCCTGAGCTCCCAGGTGTGGCCTCCATCGTCATCACGTTGTTCGTCATCTTCTCAGACTCTCACACTTTCAGAAACAAAGACAGCAAGAAGAGCAAGGCGAAACCTCAGTCTAAACTTGAAGTAGGTGAAGAGGCTCAAAATGCATAACTAACTTCTTACAAACTTAATTATATCTGGTTTTCCCACCTTCTCCCCCGAAGAACAGTGTGATAATTCCTAATTGTCACGGAAACCGGAGGGGAGGGGATCAAAAAACTTAACTCGTGAAGACCAAATTAGAATTGTGATGTTTATTCTAAAATGACATCCCTGTCACCCATAATCTAGTCACAAACGAATCAAACGCCGACGCTGCAGAAAGACGACAAATAGCAATTTCATAATTTTTCTTTCAACAATTTGGTCCGATCCGACAATTTTGTGCTTATCTGGTACGTGGCTTGTCCACAAGCGAGAAGACGTGGAAGTGTGGAATAATGAAATGGCAGAAGAACATGGATTAATTTCTTACATCAGTGTCGCCACATATAGAATATGATAATACTCGCGGGCAAGGTTGATGATATCCCCGGATTGAGGGGGCGATAGCGCGCGTCAGGCTGCGGTAAGGGGATTGAAATGTGAGTCGCTTTCCCTCGATTTGGTACACGTGGCGCGCCATGTGAGATCGCAATGGAAAAATGTTGGTGGAAAAGTTCAGGAACCTAAAAACGGAAAGGGGGAAAAAAAAGGGGGAGGAACTATTAGACCAATACGAAATTCAGTGACGATGAATTACTTTACTTTACATGATTTCGTGATTTGCAAAATAAATACGCAAGAAATTTTATCTCCAACTACAATTGCTTACATGGATATTTTTAAACAATCACAAAAAAAAAAGATACTCAAAATTACAAATTACAAATCAAATATTTTATCAAAAATTTGTTATTATTTGTCATTCAATTATCATCAAAACTTATACAAATCTTATAACGGATCTTAATTTGTGATTTATAATTTTTATGATTTTCTTTTTTTTAAGTAAACAATCCCAATAAGTGTGCCCAAGGTTGTCACTTGTGAGTTTAAATAAATTTGTGCTAATGATATAAATTCATAAGAGTTTATTTTTATTAATAAATTACTATTAAAAATATATAGTCAAATAATTAATATATAAAAAGTGAGAATAATTTTATTTAAATATATTTTAAATTTAAATAATTGAAATTATATCCATCAATACTTATAATTTATTACATTTAACAAAAAATTTTTTATAAAATTTATATATAAAATCATTAAACATAATTAAATTCAAAAATTTAGTATGAGTTTGAAGTCAAGTTAATATAATTTCGTAAGTTAAAAATATAAAAATAGTAAATTTGGTAAATAAACTCATAAATTTCAACACGATTTTATTAGTTAAAAATCTAAAAATATTAAATTTAGAAAGTCAATTTACGAGTTTAATAACAGTAAATGTGCTCATAAATTTGTCGAGGGCGCTATTATGTGTTTATAAATTTTTTGAGCCAAATATCATGTCTTTATAGTACTCCTCCGGTCCTTATTATAAGATCCAATTTGACTTTTTATTTGGTCCTAATTATAAGACCCAATCCATTTTGTCTCTTATATTTATGCATTTTTTTCCAAGATAATCCTTCTAATAATGATAGTTTTAGCCAATATACTTAATTAGCAAGGATATTTTAGGAATGACAACACTTATTTATTATAAATAACTAACTTAACTTACTTCCTTAATTTTTTCAAATAAGTCAATTAGGTCTTATAATTAGGACCGGAGGAGTAGTACTTTATAGTCAAACCATTTTCTTTGCTGGGGGTAAACATTTTTCTCAGATTTGGTGAAATATTAGTTGGCGCATGATCCAACGCAAAGGGGACAGCGCATGGAAGTGGAGCCCCTGAGTTGGGTCGGACGACACAGGCGAACCACTAGAGCACCAAAAATCAATGGATCATATAAATTAATTGTGCCATTTTTTATTTTCTATGCCATTTTTCATCCATTTATTTAAAACTTTTTTCTCATTTATAATTTTTTTTTTAAATGGAGAACTGCATAAGGAAGATAAGAGAAGGTGTGTAAAGGAGGAACGGAGGATCCACTTTGGGTTTGTGGTTGATATTAATTTATGTCGGTTAATTTTTTTCTACAATAATTATCTTAAATATGTTTCGCTGCCGAAATTGAGATTCTAATATCAACTTACGCGTTTGATTTTTTTTTTTAAAGGCAATCTGAAGAAAATAAACATTTAAAGCCTCCTCGATGATTATAGAAATATATCATTATTTTGAAATCTAAAATTCATGTTCCCTTGAAATATTATTATTATTTAAAAAAAGCACGCTATGATGTTTTAAGATTATAAGTCATACTTACCAAGTGATTCTATCACCAAATGTATTTTACGCTTGGTATTATTGGATCATATTTAAAAATTGTTAGATTCAAATGAGATTGTTCTCTCGATATAATTTGTTCTTTGTTTTTTTTTTTTTACCGACTTTCAATATAATTTATTAATCTGAGTAGTATGAGCTTGTAAATTTTTGCACCAACTATTATAGGTAATATTTGATTCCAGAAATTAGGCAAAATTGGTTTAGGCTCCAAAATTATGAGATCTGAGTTTAGAATTTTTCTCTTTAAATAGAGAACACACTTAAAAAGATTAGTCTTATACTGCTATAGGCCAGCACGTTTAGATTTTTTTATAATTTTTGTTTTTTAAAATTTTTTATATAACAATATTGTTAATTATTTTATATTATTAGTAATATTTTAAATTTTTAGTTATTATTATTATTTTAAAATTATATTTCATAAAACAATTTGATTTATTTTATTTTAAACAATAATTTGTTCATCTAAGTTTCAAAGAACAAGTCAAAAACCTACGGGTCAGCTTGCACCTATCAGTTTAAGAGTCAGTTTTAATAAAATAAACTATTTCTGAAATTTTGACAAAGCTGCGGCAACAGTCGTATTTAATATGTGATCACATGAAATTGTGACGTCATTTGCAGAAAAAATTGAATTGAAAAGCAAAATTCGCCATCCAGTTTTGAGATATTAGTTATCTGCTAATCTTTTCCTTGGGATTAGCTTTCCAGTAGTTTAATGATAGAGTAATAGTAACAATTAACTACGCATCCTGGGTCCGGTCTGTGAGTACGGATATATTATTTCGGTTTTGATTATAAGATCTTATTTATAGATTATAAATAAGATTTTATAATTAGGACCGGAGTTAATAATTATGAAATATTTATTAAAAAATGTTACTTTTCCAATTCTAATTCTTGAATATAAAATATTACTATTAATTAACTAACTAATAAATATAATAAAAAATAGATAATTTTGTTATTCATGATCAATATATATGATAGAAAAAATTAATTTCTCATAACATGATGAATCAAAATTTAAATTTCTACTAAAAAATATGGTTCTATTTTGTATCCGATATCAAATAGGAATGTTTCTTATTAGAGCATACCTATCCTTAGCAAAAATATGAATGAAACTGGCCATGATGTGTGGCCACGTGAGTTTAATAATCGAGGGCGTTGGGCCACAATGGAGAAGTGAACATCATCAAAGGGACGCGTGAGCGGCTCAGATTCGCTCAAATAAAACTTTTGAATAATATTATCAAATTTTAGACACGCTCAAATATGCAGTATGCTGCGTCATTCCGCTCATTTAATTAATTTAATTTTCAATTTTATGAATTTTTTTTTTGGGGGGCGGGGGCGGGGGGTTGAACCGATCTAGACTACTCTGGCATGTGGTGGTTCACGCAGGGCGTCTTGCTTGAGAGTTGAGAATGACTCCATTCATGAATCATCAAACGTAGCTTTCTATTGTTTTTTCATCTTCACGTGTTTATCTAATTCAAGGCCCACATGTATAATCTTTCCCTTCGGACGAAAGCCTGTAGGAGATAAAAAATAGCATCTAACACTTTGTTATTATTTTTCTAATATTCTGTATCTTAATATTATTTTCTGAGTGTATTTATTTAACGAGATTGGAGTTGCGAACTGGTTACATAATTGTAGTGAGGTTGGAATTGCTTGCTCGCCCGACCCGATTTATTCTTATGCAAAACAAATAGGAGTGCGACTTGGAGGAGCGATAAGCTTCCAAAAACATATGAGCAGACAACCCATAAAAGTACAAAATTAACCAGATTTCATTTCCCAGAACACGATTAAGTGCACAAATAATCGCTGATTATATTAATATTTATTTAAATCTAAAATATAATAATAATTTCTCCTGAGTCAAATAGCCATTCAAATGATACTATCAGATATTCAGATTTGAAAATATTCTCAGCAGGAATAGTGAGGGTTACGGGTCTCACTGTTGTCACTCATAATCCATGAATAAGACGAAGAAGGAGAGATCAAGAGTACCCGTATCGTAGCCAAAGAGGAGTCCACCTATGCCAGCTGCCGCAGTGAGTAGGAGGATGTAAGGATTCTTGAAAAACGACATTTTTCTCTCAGGATACAGCTCCAAGTACCCTGAGCTCCCAGGTGTGGCCTCCATCGTCATCACGTTGTTCGTCATCTTCTCAGACTCTCACTTTCAGAAACAAAGACAGAAAGAAGAGCAGGGCGAAACCTCAGTCTAAACTTGAAGCAGGTGAAGAGGCTCAAAATGCATAACTAACTCCTTAGAAACTGAATTATATCTAGTTTTCCCACCTTCTCCCCCGAAGAACATGTGATAATTCATAATTGTTACGGAAGCCGGAGCGGAGAGGATCAGAAAACTTCAAATCCTGTGTTTATTCTAAAATGACATTGCTGTCACCCATAAGCTAGTCACAAACGAATCAAACGCCGACGCTGCAGAAAGACGACAAGTAGCAATTTCATCATTTTTCTTTGGATTAATGTGCATTCAACACCCTAATGTATTTTCTCGGATACACCTAATATCTTAAAGTATTTTTTGATACATCTAACATCTCAAAATATTTCTTCGGGAACATTCAAGATCCTAAAGTATTTTATTATATATCCAAAATCCTAAAATATTTTTTTTGGGTATGTCTAGTATCTAAAAAAATTTGTTGATGCATCTAGTACCAAGACAAAAAAATATTTCAGAATGTTAGGCGTTTCTAAAAAATATTTTGTGCTGCTGAATACATTACAAAATGTTTTAAAGTG